TTGAATTTATATGTATATATAAATTTCATACAAACACACACACACACAAATGTATGTATATAGATATATATATATGGAATTTCACCATGAAATTTTAAATAGCACAAACATGTATAACTTACATCAGAACCATATTTATTTTATATATGTCTGGAGAAATAATGTCATGCATAAATCATATTTGACACAAACAATTTGATCTCATTTATATATGATATACTTGCATATGGGTATGGAAAACCAATTTAGAGAGCAGATTTATAATGACTTGTATTCGTTTAAAGAAATCTACTCATGAATTTTTAAGAGAAAATAAGGGTAAGAAAATGTAGTACGAAGTGTGTACTCCTTAGGCTTACCTTCTTGATGATACGTTTGTGTTGATATTGGAAAAAGTGCTTTGACAGCAGACACAAATCCTTCCAGACATTCGCTCATCCTCAGGCCTAATGATACAGTCTGATCTATGACTCTTATTTTGGTAATACTTTCTTTCTTTAATTTTAAGATATTTGTGAATCAACAAATCCTAGTTTTACTACCCTATACTTTAGCCTACTACTCCATTAAATGAAGGTTGCAAAACACATTCTTTTAATATATGAGCAAAGATTTTTTTAGTTGATCATGATAATAAATTTATATGATATTATTGTATCAAATATATGTTGTGAATACGAACATTATTGTTTTTACTTGTGTGTGTTTAAAGGTATTATTATTATTTAATTTGTTTATAAAGATTTCTATTTAAGTCTATTTGAACAGAACATTTATGTAGTTAATTTTAATTGTTTTGGAACATTTTAAAAGGTTAGTTCTTCAAAATTATTATTGATTAATTCCATTAACAAATAATTACAATTGTTTAAGAAATGTATGTTAGAAAAAATAAAAGTATATGTTGTTAATAATAAATAAAAAGATATTGCATTTTTTTTAACAAAACAAAATTTTCAGAAAATATTTCTTAATTTAAGTATTCTGTTAAGCAACTGATAATTATCATATTTCTTATTAATCATTACAAATTATAAAACATTATAAATAAAAAAATTTAACACAACAATGAATTGCTAGTATACAAACAATTAAAAAGTAATGTTAATTATACATATTATATAAAACCATAAGTTCATTGTTTTTAAAATAATAAAATCTTATTTACATTAAAAGTGATTAATTTTTCAAAGTAAAAGAGCCCATTTACAGAAAATGCATATTAATTATTTATAATTGGTAAATATGTTAATTAATTATTACTTACTGTTGTTATTGTTACGATTTATGCATTTATATACGTTCTTAAAATAAAAATTATTAAAATAAATGCATTTTTAGAGTTGGTTTAATTTGTATTATGTGTTCACTCAAATCACACATCACATCTCATTGCAACCAACACTTTTTAATATAAAACCAATAAATACACTAACCTCTTGTTCTTGATGTGGATGGATGACTAGTAACTGATGTAGTAGTTGATGTTGGTACCAAATTGTTATATGTTAAGTCTTCTTTACTATCGTAACCACTGGACACTGATAAATTGTAACTAGTATTTCCTTGCGACGTAGCTTGTGGATTTTGTGGTGTACGAGACCGAGTCCTTGATGCAACACAGTCAATAGCTGTTAAATTTAACTCTGGCAAACTTGTTCTTGCAACACTACGAGCTCTTGTACTGTTCGCACTAATATTATAGCTTGATTGCTGGACTTTATGTTGTGGCTTCCAATTATTATCTATAGAAGATAATATAGACTATAGTTAGAATTATGACCAATTTTTAATAAACATGACATTTAAAATAATAGTAAAAGAATGAAACAATATGTAAGAATTATGTTTATATTGTTTTAAAAAAATATAATTACCTAGATATGATTCTAAGCCACTGCCATGACCTTTAAATTCACCTCTTGTTCTAATTCCTGTTGATTCACTTGAATGTTTACAAGAAGTATTATTAAAAACTTCAGATGATTGTGGATCACCAATAGTTTGTCTACGTCTTTTTTCTTCTAATGTGACAGGAATAGAACCAGTGCTTTGTCGTTTTCTATAACCACTACTACCACTGCTAGAGCTCTTCCTTCTAACCTTAGAGGTGTCTGCTGAAGCACTGGCCGTCTCTACAGACCCCCCTGATGACAACTGATCTTGTTGATCTGCCATAGATTAATCGACTCATGCCACTATTCTGTCTGCAACAAAAAAGAAAATATTTCTTATAATTTTTTAAATAAATGAGAAACTAATAAAATATCATGTAAAAATTCTATAACATATAATCACTTTAATGAAACTCAAAGTGATTATAAAATAGTGAATATCCTTGGCACCACATTCATTACATAATAACAAGAGTATAATCTAAGTTAAGATTGAAATTAGAATTAAAAATATCAAACAGAATAATAAATCTAAATTAAAAGTAATTCTAATTTTAACATTTGTCATGAAAATAAGGTTTTGAAAGATTAAAATTAGAAGATATAGTTGAAATTACAACTATCCTAAATTTTTTTTCATAAACATTTTTACAAATATTTCATTATAGTTAACTTTCATTATTAAAATATAGTTTATTTAAAGAGAAAAATATTAACAAAAAACACATTAAATATGTTCATTACATAAAAGCCTGTACAAATGTTGAAAGAGTAATGTATTATTATTTAAAAATGTAACAAAGAAATATATATATCTACTTACAAATAATACGTTAAAAGTAAAAAATGTGTGTGTGTGTGTGTGTAATTTCAACACAATAGATTAAACAGAAATCACTTATTACGATAAATCAATGGACACTTGGATAAGAGGAGCGTGACTAAATAATACAGCAGAGGCGATGCGCAATTAATGTTTTCCTTCACGGTGAAAGAGATAGTAACAAACCCAAGAATCATAACAAACAGTACAACTGGTGTCCGTTTATAATATCATGGTCAATGCAAAATTGTGCCGTTGACATCATAGAACCTCTTCTAAGAATACTAGGATTACATAGTCGCAACAAAGCCACGAATAGATTCCGTACAACCGTAAGATATTCAACGAAAGACGTAAATAATTACAACAAAGACTCGTAAGTGAGCAAGCCACCATTTGCTTGTGAACAAGTAATGGAGGACGAGTTCTTTCTTCGTCTCTTTCTATCTTTAGTTTCTCCACTCTCGTTACCGTGTGACCTCAGGTTTAGGTCCTCGAAAAAGAGAACCCTACTTAGGTATGCAGGTCCTCGACAAAAAGTAAAAGAAGAAGAAGAAGAAAAAAACGACTAGAAGAGAGGAAAAGAAATCTCAATTACAGAATAAAGATTACCTGAATGTCGGATAAACATGCCCAGGGCATCGCGAGGAAAATGTCTTCTCGTCGATGATTTTTATGAGCACAAACGTTTCTTGTTACATACGACACAAAAATGGATTCTCGCACAAAGCACGTACGTTGGTGAGTGGCTATGTGCAGTAGCACACACCAAAAAACGCACCAAACGCACTGCCGAGGCACACTGAAGCAACTCAGCGGAATGCGACGGCTATCGGGATCGGGTTGGTTAGAATTGGGAAGCTGGAGAACGCTCCGCCCCCATCAGGAAACGTCACACACGAATTCAACGTAGGTGTGTTCGAAAACACGATGCCCGCATGGAGTGAAATCGCAATTCATAACGGAACAGCAGACGCGAAACCGGCGCGAATAGCCATCTTGCCGCAGTTTTTTCAAACACCAACTTTTACTTTCTCTTCGTTTGTAGTGCCAAATTAATCGCAAACAATTGATTGAATATCAATGAGAAATCTTCAAATATATAATTATTCCCTGGTTAAGATATATGTATGTGTATATATACATGTATTTATATACACATACTATAATTATATACAGAATAGTATACGTGTAATAATATATAGACATATACTACGATACATACACAATAATATGCATATGACTATGCGTATGCGCGTGTGTTTCGTGTGTGTGTGTGATTCAATATGTTGTTCTGTAACATTATATGCTATGTTACAGTACCTCAAAAGAATTTTTCTTTTTATGTTTTTCAAACTAGTACAATGAACTTATATATTTTTATAAATAAACACAAATCTGTCTATTAGAAAAGAAATCATGATTCGAATAAATGCGATTTCCACTAATGGGTGACATGTGACATGTCAAACCTTAAACACTGCTTGGATTCAAAATAAATATGATTAGGTTATCATAAATAAATGTGTTAAGCAGACAGAATTATAGAGCGGCGATAAAACAACGTATATAAAATTAATGTACATTAATGATAACATGGAGATGTAACAGATTAAACCAAAAAGCTTGTTATTCGTTGTTCAATACTTTTAAAAAATTCTTATAGTTTTGTCAACTCAATCTTAACTATTACAAACGCATTTGCTGATAACGTGTCAAATGATAATTATAAAACGTTTTTGAGATTAAACAGACAGATAGAAAGTTGAAACAATTATAAAACTGTTATTTCATCACTTTTTAAATCTTCTAGGAAAACACGTAAACTTCACAATTACGATGTTGTAACGAATGTCGAATTCTGGTTCTATTGTTTGATCACGGCAAGTATGTACACACCGTTACGATTGGTTGAAAATCTGATTTAGTAGTATCCAATTGGCCGATAAGTTAAAATATTTCTCAACCTATGTCAAAACAGTTTGCAATAAATGAAGTATACTGATAAAATAAACAGAACAAATGTTTGACAGAACCGTAACAGATGTTATAATTATTAAACGTTTGTTGATCCTTTTAATTTTATTTGAAATAACTACTTACCGAAAAAGGGAGCTCCTCCCTGGAAGTCGAACTCCAGTTACGCAATGCGATGTATAAGAGGACACGTGAAAATACAGACTGTGCTGTCAAGTCGATTAGAGCGTCGTCTGCTACGATATCTCGACCGAGGATTATACAGGATGGAAGTTGTATGGTTGATTCAGCTGAAGCATGTGCGTTCCTTTATGTAGCCATACTGTAACGTTCTCTGAACGATGATTGGTTAATGTGTATTATTCGATTTTTATTAACCAATCAGCAACGAGAATAATATTATCGCTTTATTTCGTAAAAAAGATTAGTTAAAATACATACTATTCGTCTATAAACATTAATAAAAGCTGGAAAAGTGATTTAAGCATTTTGGTTGAACATTTGCACTAAAATATATTTAGCAAAATTATTAAATGATTCAAGGATTAACTCAGCCATATTAACTATTGTGCCACTTTTTTGAAGAAGTAAACTTTATGTTTCAAAAAATAGGTACACATTAGACAAAGAAATTCTTGTTAGTATTTTAAAATTTCCGGGAAAAAATTCATTATAAATTTTTATAATTAATTCTTCTTTGAAAAATTCTTATTTATTTATAACGATGATAACTAATAATGCAATTTTTTATGGCGAATTCTCTAATCATTTCTCATTAATACTATACAGTAGTTGTTTCAATGATTCTTCGTTAATAGTTTGCAAATTATTTGCGTTGTTATCTGCAGTGCTAAAACTTTGTTCTATATCAGCATTAAACATATTCATTTCCATGATATGTGCTGTATTTCTAAAAGTATCATAAGATTTTGATATATCTCCTTTTTGTGTGGGGGATGATACTCTTAAGTGTTCCATTTCAGCAGTGGGTGAAGGTAGTCCATTTTCAAGGGGAGACATTACCATTGAAAAGAAATCATGTGTATCTTCTTGAAATGGTTTCTCATTTTTTGATTGTATTACTTTACAAGTGTCAAAGGGTTTCTTAAATATAGAACTATTAGGAATGTCAGATTTCCACATATTCCCTATTTTTTCATTATCATTGTTTGTCCCTGTACATTCTTCTAACTTCTGTTTTTTATTTGTAATGTTAGTATTTGCAATAGTTTGTATTTTTTCAATGTTAGACTCTTTTGTTAAAAGATGCTGACCTTGAGTATTTATTATTAACACATATTTGTTTTCTTCATTATTTACAATATCTAGCATCGTTTGATTTTCCTTTAAAAAATCCTTTTGAGTTTTACATATATCATTGTGTATACCTTGTATATCTGGTAAATTTACTGACTTCTGATCCATGATATTTGTTTGTTGTACATTTCCTGTTTGTTGTGCTGGGCACTTATGAGTTCTTTGACTTACCTATAGTAATGGATAATTAATAAAATCATAAAAGTATTTCTTTTTTATTCTGATATACCTTGTATCTGAAGCTTTTTCCACATGTTGTGCATTTATAAGGCATTACACCTGTGTGAATTCTACGATGAACCAAGTATGAAACACGTTGACGAAAACATTTTCCTAAAAAGCAAGCATCTAAATTATAAAAAAGATGATGTCATATTTATCCATCTATTTTTTCATTATAGGAAGGAGCTTTTAATTATAAAATTCTCAAAATATATGCTGTATGAATATAGTTATTACATACTTCTAAATATAAGCAGTATTTGTAGTAGATATAATAAACTACAAAACATTGTTATACATACATTGCAGAAACAGAACAATCCATATTAAATTGTTAGTAATAACTGAAAACAAAACATGCATTATTTCAGTTTTTGCAACACATTTTTAAATAAAATTCTTACAAAAGTTAACATACCACATGTTTCACATGCAAAAGGTTTTTCTCCTGTATGAATTCGTTCATGATTATGCAAAGTAGATAATTCTTTAAATGATCTGCCACAAGTTGTACATGTATAAGGTTTATCATCTTTATGGTATAATCTATGTTTATGATATGACTGCTGGAAAGTAAACGTTTTATTACATATGTTGCACTTATAAGGCATTTCTCCTGAATGTAATCTTTTATGTTTTTTTAGAAAATATTTCGTTGTAAACATTTTATTGCATACATCACATTCCCATTGTTTAGCTTCATGTGTTTTTAAATGCTGCATTACATGTTGTTCCTAAAATAATAAATTTGTTTTATTTTGTACAAAAAGACATTCAAAGAAACATATTTACCACCTTTTTAAATTCTTTTCCACATGTGGGGCAGTTAAATTTATTTTCATTAAGTATGAGTTCTATTTGTCCACCTCTGACCAAAGAACCTGAAAATATGTTTATGTTAATGTTTGTTAAATAATAGATATTAATATGCTTTCAATGTAATAAGAAATTACCTAAATTATATCCCATATGTGCTACTCGCATATGCACCATTAAACTACCTCTCATTTTAAATACTTTAGAGCATAAGTGACATGAATAATTCTTAAGTAAATTTTCAGGCATAACATTTAAATCTTTTTCATTGATCATATGTATTAATTGCTTATGTAAAAGCAAAATATTATGATCAGGAAAATGAAAACCACATATATTGCAACGCTCAGTCTTTTGTCTTGTTGATAATGTTTTTATAAGTTTTAATTGAGGTAATATCTCATTATGTTCAAGACTTTCATTTTGTCTTTTATTACATACAATAGATGAGTCTTCTTGTATATTCTTATCATTAGCTTTTTCCAATGGTATATTGGTACATGTACTTATAATGTTTGGAAGTTTGTTTGTTATTATCATTTGTTCATTACTACAAGGTTTATCGACAGATCTTCCCATTTTGTCTGATACTTCTTTGTTTGGTTGTTCACAATGTTGATCCTCTATCCAATTTTTAAATGTTTGGACATTTTCATATTCTGTTTCAGGATAATTTTGTACAAATTTTACATTTTTAACGTTTTGATGATCAAAGTACTGTGTAGCATAATCTACTTTTATTGTTTCTTGTAACATTTGTTGAGGCAGTTTTTCTGATTCTATTTCTTTATTCCTTTGAAGTGTATGTATCTCTTTATTTCCACAAATTGAATTTTGTGGAAATGTAATTTGAGGTATATGATTCAATGAATTTTGATTTTGAATAGAAACTTCTGGATTCAAAATTGAAGCTTCATCTTTTGTATTTTGCAGACTTTGCGATGATATTAAACTATTTTGAATATTTAAGTTATTCTGTGAAAGTTTATTTGAATCTGTAATTTGTATTTTAGACATATTCCAATCTTGAAAAGTAATACTTTCTAAATTACTTATTATTGGTGGATTATGAGTACTGGTAATAATATTTGTATGTTTCAATGACTCTGTTGTATTATTATTACTTAAATTAATAGTGTGGCTGAATAAATGAATAGTAAGCTTATCAATACCAAGCAATACTTCATTACACACAGGGCATGTAAGAGGTCGTGTTGCTACGCTTATTAATCCTGCTCGCAATGCATCCAATGTTAAAAAACCTGGTTGTGAGCACAAAGGACATGCTAAAAGTCTTGCACACATGTTTCTTACCAATTTTTATTTATAATGTTTTTTATTCAAAATAATATTTATAATAGAAAGCTTCACATTGTTTTCTTAATAATATAAATGATAAATAATTTTTCCATCTTTTTTGTATCAATAAAAATTAGCTTTTATACAGACTTAATGTTGGCTATAAAAGTAGAGTGTTTGAGATACAAATTTAAAGTAGCTGATTAATTTAAATTTAACACTGTCATCTGTAATATTATTGGGGTTATGCCTGAACTTGACCCAATGGCACAAATTAAAGATCAAAATCATACCTCATATGTTAATAAGTATAGAGAAAAACTCAATGTAAAGCGAAAGTTTTTCTTTTTTAAAGTGCACAAAATAGAACAAAGTTTTATATATGATAATTTAATTATAGAATGAAGATTTCAGATATTTATCTGGGATTCCTTTGATTCTTTGTAGAGTATATGTGATGTTCTTGAAGCTATATTTAGACAAGAAGCGGGACATTTAAGAAGAAAACGTGGTAGAATCAATAATGGTTTTATTAAATTAAAAAAGTATAAAGCTTATACATTTATAACAAGTGAGAACACATACATAATAAAAGATATTTATTTTAATATACTGGACATTTGTATGGTGTGCCATCCTTACAACAATATTCTCTTCCAGCAGAAAGATTTGTGTTAATCCATCCACTGTTACAATTTTTAATAAATAAGTAAGCCTAATATAAAGAAATTATATAATATAATGTTGTTTAATAGTTAATTTGAAGCTATTGTGAAACATTAAAATAAAACTTACCCTTTCCTTATGACAGTCATATTTTATTGAATTACATAGTATTTTAGGACTGTTTGGCAGATGTTTAATAATCTATAGTAAATATTTCATATTTTGTGTTACTTGAGATAAGAAATTAACTGTATCATCAATAAAATATATGTGTGGTAATAATTTTGTATTTCTATAGATTAACTCACAGTGTCCAAGCATTTATTTGTACACAGTTTATTCCCGGTTGGAGTACATGAAAATGCTCCAGGTAAATCATGAAAAATAGCAGGCTCTCCCTTAGGTGATTCTTTACCATCCTTTTTAAATTGTCCACTTAAAAAAATTCCACAAGCACAACCAATTGGAAATTCAGTAGTTACAATTTTAAGAGTATCATTTAAAACTTTTATTTTAATTTGATCTGCTGATGCAGATAAGAAATAGAGAATTGATAACAGAAATGCCAGATTCATCTTTTCTGTAAAAAAAATATTTATTTCAGATTTCTCTTATGAATAAGATTATTTTAATTAATAATTACCAATAAAAGAAAGCTGTATCTAAGTATATTTAGAATATATAAAAATCTGTACTCTAAACTGTAAAGTATTAATAAAGTATACAAGTATATATTCAGTTTAATGATACTTACATTAATCAAATTGTCTGCATTACTTGCATGAAGTAATGAAAATCAATAAGTCGTGCAGGTTTTGTTGAAAGCGCTTTGTTTTGTAAAATCAGCAATTAAAATGGGTCACATTCACAATAAGCAATATTTCATAATACTGCAGTACTGTAATCATATTGTATTTAAAAAAAGCTTGTTTTATTCTTTTAATATGAATATAATATTAAAATACAAATAAATACATGTACAACAATAAGATTTAGATTACTTTCTTGTTGGTAAGATTATACATATTCACTTTATTATGCACTGATATTTTATAACTTTTTGATAAGTTTTGCATTTCCTTTTAAAACTATATTTTTTCCATTTGCAATACACATATATTCACATTTCATGATTTTTCTTATAGAAACAATTTGCACTTTTATTTCTATTATATCTCCAGCATAACATGGTGCTGGAAATGTAAAGGTTTGTCCAACTACTATGGTTCCTGGGCCTGGCATTTTTGTACCAAGTACTCCTGATACTAAGCCATTGAGTAAAGCACCATGAACAAGATTATTTGATGTCACTAAATGTATTGGATTATAATCACCAGTTAATTTTGCAAAATTTAGTATATCATCTTTGGTAACTGTTTTAAAAACTGATATTTCATTTCCAACTTCCATAGTGTTTAGAACATCTGAAGGTCCTGTACAATATCTTTGTTGCACATACCTTTTTAGCAATTTAAAGAATGGCTTTGAGAACTTCATTTTACTCCACAATTGAATTATGATATATAATTTTTTAACTACTTCTTTTTTTATGTATCAAGGTATAATTAGGTATATATCCTTCCAAAATATTTTTTATATATATTATATATTTTTAGGATTTTCAACTTTATCCTTTATTTCAGTGCAGTCATTTAAAAATATTGCCACTAAGTTTTTAATACGATTATTTTCATGATTTGACAAATCAGATATTTTTCCAATTAATTCAGTTGTTACTTCACTCTTATAATCAGGGTTAATTAAAAATATTAAACTAGTAATTACTGAAAGTATGATATCTTCATCTTGTGAAGAAAGTAATGGTGTTAATAGACAAATGCCTTGGTTACGTAAAATGTATAGTTTATTTATTGGATCTAAAATATAATTCTTTTGTTAATTAATAGTTACCACAAGGATGTACTTTTTGAAAATAAATCTTTCAAACCATTATATACCTACCAGCACATACATTACAAATACCTCCTACTGCAAAACGTACTAATTTTAAATTATTTTCTGACAAAGCGTGAAGAAACAAATCAATTATTTGTAGTTGTCTTATGTATCCATAATTGATAGGATCATAAGCAAAATTAGCAAGGTTTGCTAACACTTGTTCTTTTGCTTCTGTGGAAATAATTTATGTTCTATAATTATGTAGTATAACAATTATATAAGTAATTACATTTTTATATGCAAATTACCTTTAGATTTAGTGGTCTTAAATTCTGTAGTTAAAAGTTTTAAGAAATCATAACGACCAATAGAACTTTTCCCAGTACGTTTTATTAATTGCTCCTTGCTAGTAAACATGAGAGAATAATTTTCATTTATATTATTTAGCGGAATTTTTCACTCATGATATTTAATTCATGCATTTAACTCATGTACAAAAATGTCACTTTCTTAGGTGTTTCTTTTGCGATTTTCTACGATTACATACCAAAATTTTTTAAATTTCTTGTATGTTGTAACGAAAACAGGAAATATTAATTTCACAGCTTATTATATTATAGCAAGCAGTCGTTAAGTAATAAGATTATCCGGATATGATGGTTTAGGATAAGTGTCAGTAAGTACATTATATGTGACTACATCTGTATTTAGATCATAGTCGATGACCGGATGTGATATTGATATAAAATTAATGCCATTGGTAGACAAACTGTTTCTATTTTATGTGTTGTTATTGAAACCAATCGGCAGCTTGATATTCATAACGAACGTGGTGTGCATTTAAGCGCATATTCGAACATACCATTCCTGTACCCATATTCCTATGAAAGTAGGTAGAGAACGTCATTGCGAAGTCATGGTTAACACGTAGCCGGTGTTCAACGTGTCTTAAACTCCTAGCCTAGGCATAGTGATTTGATAATTTGTTGCAAGCAGCTTGATTTGCAGCGTGTTGAATAGAAACAAATGTTAATATGTTCATGGCAAATGTCTGTTAAAATTTCACGGAAATATTTATCATTACATTCAGAAATTTAAAGGAAATATGTTGCCAAATAGAACATCCATTACAAATACTAAAAAAGATATGTTCCCTGACAAGAAATCGACGTCTAAGCAAATGAAAACTTCTACGTTAACAAACGCCGCTGGACTTAGTTCTCTTATTACTTTTACTGTTTTGCTACTTGCTTGGATCTCAGGATTTGCTTCTCGGTTATTCGCGGTGATACGTTTTGAAAGTATCATACATGAATTCGATCCTTGGTACGTATTTTTAATTATTATTAATTTATAATAATTATTTAATTTAATATTTTTCATTTAATATTTACCTAACATTTTGTTCATAAAAAATAATTTTCATGTTTATTAATAATTTAATTGATAAAGTAAATTAACTTTACATATATATGTACATATAATGTTATTATAAAATATTACTATAAAATAAAATATTCTTTTATAACATAGGTTTAACTACAGAGCTACAGCATATATGGTACAACATGGATTCTATAATTTTTTAAATTGGTTTGATGAAAGAGCATGGTATCCGCTGGGTCGTATTGTAGGTGGAACTGTTTATCCTGGATTAATGATAACATCTGGATCTATACATTATATATTACATTCTTTAAATATCCCAGTGCATATAAGAGACATTTGTGTATTCTTAGCTCCGATATTTAGTGGTCTTACAGCCATTTCTACGTACTTATTAACAAAAGAAATATGGAGTGCAGGAGCTGGTTTATTTGCAGCGTGTTTTATTGCAATTGTACCTGGTTACATTTCAAGATCTGTAGCAGGAAGTTATGACAATGAAGGCATTGCCATTTTTGCACTACAAATTACATATTATCTGTGGGTTAAGTCAGTTAAAACTGGCTCTATTTTTTGGGCTTCTATGACTGCTCTGTCCTACTTTTATATGGTATCTGCATGGGGTGGTTATGTTTTTATCATTAATTTAATTCCACTTCATGTTTTTGCATTATTGATCATGAATCGATTCAGTAATCGTCTTTTTACAAGTTACACTACATTTTATATTCTGGGACTTTTATTGAGTATGCAAATACCATTTGTTGGTTTTCAACCAATAAGAACATCAGAACACATGGCAGCTGGAGGTGTGTTTGGATTATTAATTTTTGTGGCAACCCTCAGGTGTGTTGATATAATATGTTAGTATAATTTTAATATATCAAATTTTGTAATACAGTATATTTTATTATTGTAGATATCTAAGAACTGTACTTACAAAATCTGAAATGAAATACTTTGGAGGAGTGGTTGCAGTTACAGCCGGCATTCTTTTGTTTATTTTAATATGTTTGACTTATGCCGGTGTTATTGCACCTTGGAGTGGAAGGTTTTATTCACTTTGGGATACTGGTTATGCAAAGATACACATTCCAATAATAGCATCTGTTTCTGAACATCAACCTACAACATGGTTTAGCTTTTTCTTTGATTTACACATTCTTGTTACAACGTTTCCTGTGGGCTTGTGGTACTGCATTAAACGTATCAATGATGAACGTGTTTTTGGTAAGATTTAAGAAAAATTTCTTTATTAATTTACTACACAAATATATTAATTATAATTATTTTACAGTTATATTGTATGCTATAAGTGCTGTTTATTTTGCTGGAGTAATGGTGAGGCTTATGCTCACTTTAACTCCAGTTGTTTGTATGCTTGCTGGAATTGCATTTAGTGATCTTCTTGAATTATTTTTCAAAGAGGAAGACAATGAAAGAAACGATCGAAGTAATAATGGAAGTGAAGAAGAAAGTGAAGAAGAAAGAGAAAGAAGCCCTGGTAGATCACTCTATGATAAAGCTGGTAAACTTCGTAGAATGAGACATGAGAGACCTAGGGGTAATGGAGATGGATTAGGTGTTAATCTTCGAAATGGTGTTGTCATTGGTGCATTTGTATTAATGATGATGTTTACACTGCATTGTACTTGGATTACAAGTAATGCATATTCTAGCCCTTCGATTGTTTTGGCATCATATAGTAACGATGGAGGTAGAGCTATTCTAGATGATTTCAGAGAAGCTTATTATTGGTTAGCACAAAATACACCTACTGATGCTAGGATTATGAGTTGGTGGGATTATGGCTATCAAATTGCTGGGATGGCTAATAGGTATATATTATTAGAGAATAAAATGTGCTATTTAAATTTTTTTGTATATATAATACAATATAATATGAAGCATTTTCATTTTAACGTAGAACTACGCTTGTGGACAATAACACTTGGAATAATTCACATATAGCTCTAGTTGGAAAAGCAATGAGCTCAAATGAAAGTGCTGCTTATGAAATTATGACATCATTAGATGTAGATTATGTATTAGTTATTTTTGGAGGAATGATTGGATATTCCGGAGATGATGTTAATAAGTTCCTTTGGATGGTACGAATTGCTGAAGGCGAACATCCACAAGATATTCGTGAAAGTGATTATTTTACTGAAAAAGGCGAATTTCGCGTGGATTCGGAAGGTTCACCTACCCTTTTGAATTCACTAATGTATAAATTAAGCTATTATCGATTTGGGAAAGTAAAGATTGATTATCGATCGCCCTCTGGTTATGATCGTACGCGTAACGCCGAAATAGGAAATAAAAATTTCCAGTTAACATATTTGGAAGAAGCCTACACGACTGAACATTGGCTTGTTAGAATTTACAGGTAATTTTATAGATAACAATAACAAGACCATAAATTAATTTTATAAATTTTATGATTTTTATACTTATAAATTTCAAATGTCCTTATTCAAATCCAATTTTAGGGTGAAAAAGCCAAATGAATTTAATAGACCAAGCATTCCAATATCTAAACGAATTGTTACACGAAATGCTAATTCATATGTTAGTAAAAAGGTGAGAATTCTATTTCTTATGCTAAACAGTTAAAGCAGTTAAAACATTTACTTTTGTTGAATTCTTAATCGTATCGTTTTTCCTTCTTTAAATCATAACATTGTGTAATTTTGAAATGTAGTTGAAATCGTGGGATGGGGAACATTAATGTTACAGACACCACGTCGTAAGAAAGGTTACATAAAAGGCCGGCCAACTATTATTAAAGGACAAAAACCTCAACGAAAAACTACGTAACATACATTTATTATCTAATTCATAATAATTTTCAAATACAACTTTTATAATAAGGAAAAAGAATTATACACCGTCCCTTGGGTCTACCACAAATTGTACCTCAAATTAAGATTTTAATATCATTAAAACTCGAATCAATTAAATATAGAATAAAAAAAATTTTCAACACTGAAAGCAATTGGGACAATTTTTTAACAAAAATGATCTTTAAAAAAGCGATCATGTTTTCAATTTTACTCATTACACTACGAAAATTTCTTATTTTTTCAAAATTATGAAATATTATCTATGTATGGCTACTTTACATATCGATTAGGTAAAATATAATTTCTATATGGTTGCAGTATATGGTGAATTTCTATAATTGAATTTACATTATTCATGGAGTGGAAAAATTTTATATTCATACAGTTTAAATCTTTGTACTTAAGTAGTCTCTAGCTTTTTGCTTACGTGATTTTATGCATATTATGTTCTGATTGCAAATTACGGAAATGAGCTTTGAATTATCACATGAGAAATATGATAAAAGAACTAATGCGTAAACTTTTCTTATATCTGTGTAATGCACACTAAACATCAATAAGAAAAATTCGCTAGTCAAACTGAACGAAAAAATGGAAACATTTATTATAAATATCAAACAGGTGAGATCAGAGGGATTAAATATGTGTTATGTATACACAGTTATACAGTATTGTATACTATTCTTGTTGAACATTTGTAAGAAGGAACTTGTCACTTAAAAGCATTGTATATTTAATATTTGATTTATCTTTCCTTTTCTTTTGTATAGAATTTAAAAATATAGAAGACAAATTGAATTTTATGCAGTGGAAATATGCTTTTAAGTGTAATGTATTATTTTGTCTTATAATTTTTTGATTGTCCATTGTTCTAGCACTTTTTTTAAGTACAGTGCTATAGTTCACGTTTCATTCAAATTTGAAATTTATATCTTTGTGATCTACATTGTAACCATTCTTCTTATTATAAAACATATTGTTTATTTATAATATGTACATAATCCAATTACTATTTTTAGCAATTGTATGTATTTCAAAGATCACAAAATTATAGTTAAAGCAATGTTAAGTACGCAAAATAGCTGTGTACACAATCATTGTGTATATTTGATTATAAAGAAGACAAAAAAATATAAATGAAACAAGGTTGTAATACATACCACTGACAACATTATTTTATTTCCTATATAAAATTCGGAAGACTAATGCGATTATATTAGGAAAATGGCAAGCATTAAAAATTATATAATAATGAAAGAATTAAATATATATGTATATTGTGTATACTAAATATGCATTTAGTATACACAAGAGAGTAAAAAGATTCGTTTATATAATTTGCATACTCTTATTTTATACTATTTGACAAAATAAGATATTAATATAATATTTGAATTCACTTGCCTTTTTTTTAAATAGTAGAGTATTAATAATTAAGCAATTACAAATTTTTTCGGAAAGGCTGGACTATATCAACAGGTGGTCTTTTGTAATATATTAATAGGTTATAGTCTTAAATGTCAAAATCAGCTGATCACTGGTAACAACTTTTTGAAGGTTACTAGATTTATGAATTTTGATTGTCTTTTGTAATGCCTTATCACACAAATATAGAATCTAGTTATTTATTAATTCAAAAATTAAATGTTTGAATAAAATCTCGAATAAATATAAAATATGGTTTGGTTATGTAGCAATATGAAAATTATTGCTCTTGACATTGACTTCATCGCCCGATTTTATATTTAATACATGCATAATTTATTTTATCTTCATTATTTTTTTTACATATTTAAGTAATATTTATCAGATTTATATATAGATTTCTTACACCTATATTTTTTTAATTAAGTATAATATCCTTTTAGAGCATGTTAATTATATTTGAATAGATATAGATCACGCAATGTTTATTATTTATTAATTATCAAAAGACAATATCTTTTTTATGCATTTCATATTCTACAAAAAAATAATAATTCTATGTTACGTGAAATTTTCAATGTTTATTGTAAGAGGCTAAAATTTATTTAAAATCAACTATTTCAATATTTCTCGATATATTACATTAATTATATCATTGTAATTTAATCAATTATATAATTTATTCTTTTAATATTAATATCAAGAAAGTTGGGTAAAATGATGTTACTAAATAACATAATGTAATATTCTACACATGCCATGTTATAGATGCCATACTTTAAAATATTAACGAAAAGCTATACATTTATGTAAATCAAATATAATTACTCTGAATACAATTAGTATTAAGGAAACTAGATCATACAATGGATGTTTTAAAATTGAAAAATGAAATATTATTATATTTGTCGTTTTATTCATACTATCCTGTTTTCTAAAAGAAAAAAAGTAGAAATAAAATTAGGTTTATTATATACATAAAAGAGTTAAAAGGTTATGTCAAAATGAATAACGAAGAACAATCTAAACATTTTCAATAGAAATAGCCGAAATCATGCAAAAAGATGTTTTCGTAAATTATCATTTAAAATTAGTTAACACTTAAAGTGGACATAAATTGTTTGTATATCAAATTCATAATGATAATACAGTGAATTCAAAGATTTTTCGCATGAGAAACTGTTCGTGTGTGCAGTGTCCGCCATTTTGCTTTCTTTATATCTGACATGTCTTTCTAATGTTATTATCGATGAATGCTAAAATTTGTGCGTGAATCTTCAATCTCGTTGGAGTGTATTTTATACGAAAAAGGTCGGATTGCTTCTGATTGGGCAACAACCTCCATTACTGTTGGGAGTAATTTCCATTGTCCCAACCTCGGTTAAACTAAACGAAACGAGTTCATAAAGAGGGTTTCGTGATAGTATTTGTGAATAGTTTACCCTTGTTATAGGGTATAAATATGCTGCAAGATTCATCTTATGAGTTTTTCTGACTATATTACTGAAACTTGATTATAGTATTTTGCAAAGTGTCTTACTGCCTATATAAGGAGTGAACATAACCAAACAGTGTTGATATCCAACATCATGTACTCATGTCAACACTAGAAATAAAATGTTTATTAATATGGCTTTGAATTGTCAAAGTTTGTCAGAACTTTTAGAATTCACATTCAATGCTTTAATATTTCATGTAATGAAATTGTTTGAAAATGTATAGGGTATATTTAGTGCGAATTGCTATGCGAGGCAAGGATTGTTTTTATCCTGATCTAGCCATGGACTAAGTTCACGCTTATTGTTTGAACCAGGTGACTTTAGTAATCATCTGATACATATATGTACAGGAATATGTGAATTTAAACTTATACTTATAGTGATATATAGCTTTAATTGATCTAGATATTATTGACTACTAAAGTATTATTTGCACTTTTAAAACACAAAATAAATTTTATTGTCATTTAACTATACAAGATTTTTTGTAAAATTCCACTATAAAATTTGATACTAAATAATAGGTAATCAGTTTTAATGTTTCTATCAAAGCATAACCCATGACAAAACTAAGTTTTGTACATATGCAGATACATATGTATATAAGTTGGGTGCGTATTAATATTATTGGCATATGTAGTGGATATGACTATTTTATAAGTTATTATACTTTGTACAAAATTTCATTTTATTAGTTGTATTACCTTGATGCATATGTAAACATTAATGTGTAAAGCACATACAAAAACAATCAAACTGTGATATAATACAATAAAAATAATTTTTTATTTTTTTATTCTCAGTATTATGAATTCAGAAATATTTATGTATGGACTTGGATCTAGGCACATGGCTTGAACCAAGTTTTATCTAGATAGGAAGAAAGATTTAGAGGATTTGAGAATGCAGGTGGAACAAGATACAAGGAAATCGGTAATCAATGAAGGTCCCTATATCCGAAAACTCAAACATGGACAATAAATTGAAGTTTTCGGATCGGTTGAAGGCTTTGCTGAAAACTGAGGCTCGTCAAGATGTCGACCCATATATTTTCAGTGAACCAGAGCCATTTGGTACAGCGACAGGAAGAAATGTTTCAATAGTGTCGTCTAAAAATTCTAAAGTAATGCAAAATTGTAAAAATATTAAGACTAAAGAAAAATGTATGAAACAAAGAATAAGGATAACATCCGTACCAGATGCGGAATTCAAAGATGTACAAGACCGTGCTGTAGAATTAGATGCTGATTGTAGTGTTGGTGGTGGTGGCAGTGGTAGTGGTGATGGTGAACATATAGATTATAAATTTGCGAAAGCAATTCAACAGAAGCAGCGTCATATTGAAAATTTACAAAGACTAAAAAATAGAAAGCAAAGTCGGGACCATACACTATTGTATTATCCCAGAGCTGGGGATGAAATATCAGATAGTGATTCTAGTGGAGATGAAATGACAATTTATCAACGTTATTGGTTTTCTGGAGAAAGCACTTCAACACTGAATCGTTCTGCACGCCTTTCTCAATTGCGTTCCCAGCTAAGAAGAAGATTACTTCAGTTACATAAAGGTGGAACAGACTCAGAAATTTTGTTACGTGATAGAGCTAGATGTCTGTTAGAAGCTGCTTGCAAGGATCCTGCATCTACAGCAAGAGCTTTAAGTGGTTCTCCAAATACAAGTAAAGTGGTTGACGGGCCACTTCTAGTTGGTGGGCTTTGTGGAGCTGAAGGATGTCAACAGATATCTTTGCCCTGTACTCGCCATTGTTCTCGTCATATTATGTTGAATGGAGATCAACTTTTATTTGAACATTGCACTGCCAAATTTAGTGATAATACACAATGTTGTATTCCTGTGTTTGATGTTGCACATGAATTACCTCTTTGTCCAGAACATGCAAGGAAAAGAGATAATTATCATCGTAAAGCCCAAGAGTCTAAACCAAAGAAAGCTCGTAAAAAACCAACATCTCCTACAATTCCCAGGCCTAAACCAAAATCTAGGCCAAAGAAACGAAAACGGCCTCTTGCAAATAAACTTGAGATTAAAGATCCTACTCTAGTACATGAAGAGAGTCAATATTTGAATCAAATAAACTCTAGTGAAAATCAGACAAAAACTTTGAATAATTTGAATACTGTAGCACAAGGAACTTCAAATTCTGCTAACTTAAATTTAGGATTAGGACTTGGTCTTGGAGGAGGACTTAAAGATCTGGGAGATCATGAAGTGTTTCCTTCTTTGGATCCTGCAGAGCATGATTTTGGCAATGTGCTCAACAACTTACCTGCTGATGCTTTTAATGACCTCTTTATTGGTAATTATAATGATATTGTCCTTTTTGTATTGTGTGATATTAATTTATATAAATATGTTGTGTGAAATATATTTATTCTTATGAATTACTTTAATTTAAAAATAAAATAAGATTTATGTTTTCAGAAGGCAGAAATGGGGAATATGAACCATCAAGAGAAGAAGAAGAAGAATTGGAGCGAGCATTAGAGGCAGTGGATAAGGATGTACGGAATTTGGAAAGAATGGGGCAAACACATGGACTTTTAGAGCCAGCTTTATTGGCTCAACTTATGTCAGATATTGCTTCGTAGCCCCGCCTATTTTAGTAATGTAATAATTTGAAAACGAGTTCACGTGTGTTCCTTACAATATAGAAAAAAAATACTGTTTGTGTATGTGCTGCTAAATGTAAGATTGTGTTATTGACTTTCGTTATGTAACTATAAAAATCCGAGATAATGGCAGGGATTGACATACAGAAAGTAACAAAAAATAGTTAACTATTACTAATTTAATATAAATTTCATTGGGTACAATTGTATCATATAGTTAGATTCCCATAAAAAGGAAGAAAAGAGATCATATTTCTTATAAATTCTACAAATTCCATTCTTGCTAAAAAAGTAATCACGAAAAAATCGTAAAATCATTCTTGTTCTTTTATACATTTGCGAATTATTTTGAATACAATTTAAAAGTTCAGTTACAGTGTTGTAGCTATAATGGTATAGCAATAAATACTTTTTGCTTATGACAGATACAAAAGTCAAAAGAAAAAAGCAGTCCTACAAAGTAATTCTACTATATTTGAATTTTTCAGGGCACATAAATTTATTTTTACATACTGCTTTATTCACTATTAATGATTTTTATTTTGTTTTTAAGTACCCTGATATAGCTGCAAATAATAGTCATTAATATTTTGTAAAAATATAATCAAATGATTTTATATAACTTCTCTAAGTTGTATGAAGTTTCTATTTTAAACAGAGGTAAAGTCTTTTATTAAAAGTCAGTATATTATTCAGTTCATTGTATGTTTTGATATGAATATAACTTAGGTTTTGTTTAAACAGAAGTTAGAAGTTTTAATGGATTATTTTCTACTAAGAAACTTTATTTATAAAATAGAATTGCATGAACACATGACTGAACTTAAAAAAAACTACATATACATATAAATGATCATATTCATTTTTTATCATCTGCCTGCTGTAACAATATATGCGAATAATCGCAAATAATCTTATTGATATATGCATAATCATCACTATCATCATTTTCTTCATTTTGTATTATAATCATATAGATAAATGTTCAGTAATAGATAACTGTAACATATAATTAAAGATTCAACTTAATAAGAAGTGCCGAAATAGTTTCATTTTTGATATCTTTAGTAATTGTAATATGATTCAATTTCTTTTGCAGCCTATAAGAAAAAATGACACGTGATATATTATTTTATTATTCAAAGTAAAAATATATAAAATTCAGATTAAAGAATTGTAAGAGGGCACAGATTCTGAGAAAAAAAACTAGATTCCTCTGGTTAATTATAAGGACAACTAAATCATTTACTGCCATTTAACATTTAAATGATTACAACGTAGCAGTAGTATTGACACTAGAGTTATCTACGTACATGTAATATTTTCAAATGTACACAATATATTTCAAATTATCATAATTTTAATACATATCGTAATCGAAATTAAAGAAAAAGAACTATGTTGAATCACTCTGTAGACTATAAATAAATGTCATTAGAGAGTAAAGCAGCAGAAAAAACAACTTACTTGTGACACTAGAATTGTACAGATTTTTGTGAGATCTAGTTTTTATTATCAAAGTTTCTGTGCCAAATGTACTAGTTAAGATATTAATTTTTGTACGTTACATGTGCGTGTCATTATTCATAAATAATAGGTCGCAAGGAAGTATATCTTGAATAATAAATGTTTTAAATGTAAACCAATGCAAATGGACAGTAATTTGCCACTTGTAAATGGACAAAAATACAATATAATTTACAATTTAACCCATATTGGGATTAAATTAATGTCGTATATATATTGTTATTATATATAATGGTAGTAAGTAGGTACAATAATTATTTATATAAGGACAATGCAAAATTTAATCTTAAAACAATGCATTGCTTCAAATGTACCTATATATGTATCTCCTTGTAAAATATCAGCATTAGTACGCATTATTAGGCATTACCAATTATAATAAGCATATTTTTTACATTGTCTTATTGTACTCAGTTTATCCACCCTTATCACATATCCTAAAAGCGTTATTTTCGAAATATGTGTCTATGTTTAATATCTTATGCGATAAAAATAATTATCAGTATTTTTCTTTCTAAATTTTTTCAATGCGCGTTATGAATAATTTTAAGTAGTTTTCCATATTTTGTATTAGTTATCAACAATTTTCTTTTTATATAATTAAAAATATAAATACTTTGTATTTCTTTATTCATTATTACTCAATCTTACAGAATAATATTAAATGTAAAGCAATTAAATTATTGCATGAAGTAAATTTTTTAGGAAACCAAATATAGACACATATTTTCAAATATTTAATTGTTACTAATTCATACTAACTTTAAGTAATTACACGAAAAATAAAACAGTCTTGAAATAGTAATCAACATTGATTTGTGTTCTATTTATTTTACTTTAGTTCAACAAACATACTCAACAAAAATTTGTTATTTGTTATTATTTGTTGTGTTATAACGATATATTTGTATATATTTGTATATCTTTTAATTTGTATTTGTATATATTATATATATCATATGTTTAATTCAAATAATACAAATTTCAAAATTTTATTTATTTAAAAATATAACTAACATAAACTAAGAATTTGTAACATTTATATTTGCTCACATAATAGCATAGAAGAAGTTTATAAATTTTCAATTAAAACAGAATGTTATTGAAATTATGATAATTTATATTATGACACAAATATGCTTATAATTCCTAATTTATTTTCAAAAAAATTATTGATCTATCATTGTTGCTATTGAGTATGTATCCGTTTCTTTATATCCTTGCCGTTTAATTTCTCTCATCAGCCACTTTTTCCTTGCTTTTTGACGCGCACTTTTGTAGCCTTTTGGTGAAATATTAATTGTTCTCGTTGAAAAGTCTTGTGTTAGGTCGGGTTTGGTTTGAAAAGACGGAAGTCTTTGTACTTTTATAGATATTTGCTATGATATTAAATGTAAAAAATATGACATTAATGTTTCATAACAAATGCATATATTTAGAACATTTTTAAAAACTCACTGTATCTTGCATTGTATCCTTAATACTTTTTCTTTTTTCATGTTTTCTTCTATCAGATAATTGAGTTCTGTCTTGTTCTTCGTTTTTTTCTTCTAGAGGCATTAGTAAGATATCATAATTAGTTCTATTTTCTCCTAAAATTCCTACTTTTATTCCCAGTTCGTGTAATTTATCTTCTCTAGCAACAAGTGCATATTTCAAATAAAGAATGCGTTCGTCATTTGAATTGTCCTCTATTCCTGTAAACCATAATGCATTATTTTGTTTCTTTTATAATGAAATATATAAAAGTATGTAATATACCTAAAGATAGAAGACGATAGTCAGAATCTGAGTATATTAATCCTTGTATTAAGGGTGAATTTCTTAATAATTTTCTTTTTACTTGTATTTTGTGACCTTGTAATACTTGGATATCATTAGGTAACATATCTTGAATGATATGACTTCGTCTTTCTGCTATATTATATGTTTCAGTTCTAAATAATCTGTGCAATTCCATTTCTACAACAAATATCCTATTTTTTGTTTGAATATAATTATATATTTATTATTGTATAGATAGTTTATGTTTTCTATTTTATTATAGTTTTCACTCACCAATCAAACTGAAATACTTGCGTTCTAAAGCTATCCAGACAATACGATGTGTCATACAGATTAATACCTCAAATATTCGTAAATCCTTTTCTCCTTGAGATTGTGTCACAGATGGAGCTCCTTTTTTTCCACCAGTCATATGATGATATTGTATAACATCATGACAACCTACTATTAAATCAGCATATTCTCTACCTAAGACACATCGAAGAATTTGCATTTCTTCTGCATATCTATATCTATAGCCCTGAGCCAAAGGATTTGGTGCTTTTTTCATAGTAGCTGTACGTTCTTTCATTAATTCTTCCCATGTTATCACATAATATTGGAAATAAAGTATTGCAGCTCTCAAAAAGCGATCCACTATTGATAAATAGAAGAAATTCACAAATTGAGGACTTATGTGACTGATTAATAAATACATTACAAGATCCTTTATATCTTGTAAAATAATAACATTTGGTTCATTTGGAGCTACCTTCCTTAAATAATATTTCCTAAATCTGAGCTAAAAACGATATATTTTTGAAATAAAGAAATTACAGATATTGTAATTAAATTCCTTTTCTTTTTATTATTTACCTTATCACGTTGACTTAAGGTTTCATGGAAATTTAAAATCAAGTATGAGTGCGGACAATATACCTTTGATACATGATTAGGATCAGATTGTAGTTTAGTCTTTTTGGTATGCTCATCCTCAGTCTTTTGTGTACTAATATTTAAATATAGAAAAAGATAATAAGTAAAATAGTTATTTGTTGTATTTTATTTATGAATAAATTATCTTTTGGAGTGTAATTTATACAAAAATATGAGGTATTTGAATTTCTAAAAACTTTATTACCTTAATAAAAGTAATCCATCAGAAATTTCATCCCATCCAAAATATCTTTCTTCCATTTCTAAATATCAATATAATAAATTAAAATGATACGTTTCATTCATAATAATGGAATTAGTAAGAAGTCAGGTTAACTAAAAGATAAATGAAGAGCAAATTAACACTCAATACTACATAAATTAATTATTGATTGCATATACATATATATATATTTCATAAATAGAAATGTATGATAAAAAGGAGAATTACATCAATAAGGAAGATGTAAATATACATGTATGTATTGTGAGCAAAATAATTATCATCGAAAAAAAATCATTTAATTTTTAATTCAAATTCGTAAGACTTAAAATATACGCGTATCTACACATATATATGTACAATGAAATTATTTAATTTTAATTGTATTTTACATATTAATAAAATATAGATGTAACAAATTAATTTTTTCGAACGAAATATTTTATTTATTACAATATTTATAATACAATTATTATTTACTTTTTATTTTTCTACACTTTCTTTATCAGCCAAGGGATGTTTTGGGAGGGAATTCAATATTGATTGATCTTCTGGGAAAATTGCTATGCTTGGTAGTAAGTAATATGGTACATCATATTCAATCTTTTTTTCTGAGTTAGAAGTATAATGATGTACTTTACATCTGACTTTAACTTCCTCAATATTATTAATTTTGACAATAACATAAAATTCTTTATTTTCAATGGATAAATCAGGTCCAGATATAGTCTTCTCTGGAAGAGTTATAGCGTATTCAGGTACAATGTATCCTTCATTACGAAAAGCTACTTTCACATGCCATTTTTCTATAGTCCATGGATTGTCCATGGACATTGTTACTGGTAAATAACATTGAGATAATATGCTTATTGTTTTTTCTACAAATTGAGAGCTATATTTAGATAATCTTCTCTGGACATCTACATCTTCGATTATATATTTTTTAAGATTTTCAGGAGTTGCATATACAGCCAATTTTGGTAATATCAGACTTTCATAAGCTTTTTGAGAAGATACTGATACCTTCTGACCTTTTTCACCAATGTTTTTTACACTCTCTAACAAAACTAAATCAATCTTTTTTTGTTTCCTTTGAGATGAATGCTCTATGAATTCATAAATGAAATGTTTATGTGTTAACCGTGGTTGTCTCTCATATTTTTTATGAAGCGGTGCTGGATATTTTCTTTTTAAGATATATGTGTTCTAAAATAGAAAGCAATAATTGTTCACCTTTAAACGCTTAGTCTTGTATTAATTTTCTGCAAAATAGATAATAAAATATTACCCGGTTTTGTTGCACCAATATATTATTCTGACGAGAAAGAAATGTTGATTTTAAATAATTCAAGCACAGTTGCGTATACTTTAACATATTTACTTGTTTGTTAGGTACAACTAAAAAGCATGCCATAAAAGTTGATATTCAATTTTAAACTACCGTGACGTTTCTGTTAGGTTAGAATACGCCACGAAATAATTCCTTGATAACTGACCACGAATTGGAATTTGAGTAGTTAACAACGCATTATTGTACGTGCACATAACCTGTAATCATTGAAGCTAACCAGCTTTAACTTTTGTAAACAACTTCAAATTTATTATCTACAAGAGCTCTTTTGATTTTATTAATAAGATGTATCCTTATTTATAAAAACTTGGATAAAAACATAGATATAGGATATTTTTAACAACTTAAAAAATAAAGTTCAATTTAAGTTTTAAAATGGAACAGTTTCTAATGTGGTCAAATTTTATATTTAAAAAAGAATAAATTATAAATAATTATCAACGATGGATAAATTAAAGTCACCATCGGATAAGGTTTTATATCAAGCTATTATGGAAATGCAAGAGCCAGTAGTATTTCAACATATGTTACAAAATGAAAAAGGTGAATATTGTTGGAAATTATTAGAATGGAATTTATCTGAACTCGCTGAAAAATTCGGCGATATTAAATTACCGTTTCGACTTGGTTATAATGCTAGATCTATGGTAAATTATTATTATTTTAATTAATCTTTTTCTTTTATTTATGTTTGGACATTTTTGTGACAAGCTTTAAAAACTATTTTACATATTTCAGACTCCACAATGGGAAATAAATTGTTCAACAGTTTCAATCACACTATCATACTTTATTCAAAATATGAACCTCCACGAAGATCATGGACAATGGTATTACTTTGATTATAAGTATATGCAAGAGTGGTTTAAAGATAAACCAGAAATAATAAATTCAGTAAATTGGAAAAGGTTTGATATCGATAAAACTGGCGATGATTCTACTCTTTGGATTGGAAGCAAAGGAGCTCATACAAATTGCCATCAGGATTCTTATGGTTGTAATTTAGTTGCTCAAATTCATGGAAGGTCAGTTATATATATGAAAATAAAAACAAAAATTTTAATATAAAAGTAAGACTGTTTGTGTTCAAATTATTTTTTAGCAAACAATGGTTACTGTTTCCTCCAAGTTCAAGTAATTTTCTCCAGCCAACAAGAATTCCTTATGAAGAATCTACAATATATAGTAAATACAACTTTTTCTGTCCTACTAAAGAAGATGAAATTAATATATTAAAGATACAAGACACAGCAAGATTAGTAACATTAGAACCAGGAGATGTATTATTTGTTCCTCCTGGTTGGTGGCACTATGTTGAGTCACTGGAATTAACTGTTAGTGTCAATATATGGCTACCCATAATAACAGATAATGTATCAAGAGTGAAAGAAGCTATTGTTAAATTAATAGTGACCAGAATTGGGAAAGATGTTAATAATGTACCTAATGACACTGAATGTATAGATTTGGTAATGTATAATGAACGTTACATATCTGTAGTTTATATTGATATTAATTATAAATGTTTAAGATTAAAATCAAATTATTTAATAGCTCAACATTGCTATTGGGGAATGTAAAACTATGACAAATGTAGAATCATCTTCTGAAAAGATAAAACGTAATATATGGACTGCTAAGGATTTAGTAACAGAATATCCAATTTATGTAAAACTGCTTCGTGAACTTAGTCATACAGAACTAAAAGAATTTCTGGGAATGAAGAGGGAGAGATTCCCTGAAGTCTATATTGAATCAGTGAAAGAAGATTCTAAACCACATATTGATATCCAAAATACTTATGCTTCTCAAGATTTGACTGAAAAAGTTGTTAATGCACTTTGTCATCCTGATGTTGTTAATAAAGTTTCAGAATTACTTTTATCATAATATGTTGTATAATTTATAATATATATTTTAATAAATTATTTGATATATTTGAGTAAATTATTTGTTAGTAGTTAATTTACTATTAATGTTAAATATATAAATGAATATATTGTATGTTATCGAACACATTTTATATTTAACAGATACATTCGGTATTGGATTTGACTTTGTTGCTTTCGATAGAGGTTAAAGTTGTCACGTTGAGTAGCTTTACATTTTCCGGGTACATATTATGTTTATAAAATAACGACCAGTGATATTTCTAATGTAATTAATAATGGGATTGTTAACAGTGCTTAAGAAACTGAAGCAAAAGGAGAAAGAAATGCGTATTTTAATGCTGTACGTATTTTTGTTTTTTTGTTTCAATATTTTTAGGTTATGATATTATTTACGTTGACATTATCCACTTTTTAAACAAGATTATACAATTATGTTAAATAATTTATTGTATATTTCTGTTTCTTTCTTCTTATATTCTAATGATTGTAGTTTTTCATATATATTTTAAATCTTTGTCTTTGTACACCTTTGTCGTACACTTTCTTTATATATTTACAGAGGTTTAGATAATGCTGGTAAAACAACAGTTTTAAAGAGACTTAATGGAGAACCAATTGATACAATATCACCAACTCTTGGTTTTAATATTAAAACTTTGGAACATCGTGGATACAAATTAAATATATGGGATGTGGGTGGACAAAAGTCATTACGGTCTTATTGGAGAAATTATTTTGAGTCTACAGATGGTCTTGTGTGGGTAATTGACAGTGCAGATAGAAGAAGATTGGAGGATTGTAAGACAGAGTTATATAAACTTTTACAAGAGGAGAGATTAGAAGGTGCAAGTTTATTAATACTTGCGAATAAACAAGATTTGCCTGGAGCACTGTCTGCATTTGATATTGCAGAAATTTTGGAATTACCTAATATTAAAACCCATCATTGGCAAATATACAAATGTTCAGCAGTTACAGCAGAAAATCTTGTGGAAGGAATAAATTGGATTGTTGATGATATTTCTGCTAGAATATTTTATATAGATTGATACTAAGAAATGTATCAGATTTTAAAATCTATATCGCTACTATTACAATTATTTGTAATTTTTTGTATTACACTCATTTCCTATTTGTTAAAAAGCATAAATGTAATATAATTATATTTTATTTAAATTAATAAAGTAGAGTATTGTAATAAACTGTAATATTCATTTTCATAGTCCATATTTGTTTTTAGTTTTTGTCTTCTTCTCTTTTTTCATATTCGCGCCTTTGATTTTTCTTTTTTTAGTAGGTTTTTCCAGTGGAAGTTTTGTGTTTGGAAAATGTTTCATGTAAACAGATTTTAATAATCCTTGATCGACGGTATGCCTTGCACCAGCAAATGCATGTATTAGTTCATTTACCAAAGATTGAGATAACTTCAGTTGGAATTTTTCGATCAGTTCTACAAATTTCCCTGTAACATTAATTTTATTTCAATAGAAGCAACTATTTGCTATGTAAACTAAAAAGCAAAGTATTTTTACTTTCCTATACCTCTTGAGATGGGATCATCAGAAAGCGATAATACAAAGTGACCAAAATTCCTGCGATGTCGTTTCTTCTTTGGTTTCATAGCTTCATAGTTGGCTCTTCTCAAAAATATTGCTTGTACATCTGGACCCTCGACTTTGTAATTACTAAGTATCCCTCCTAACTTAATATTGAGCCATGGTCTATTATTTCGAATTGTTTGAAGCTCCGGTAATATGTTTTTGTTCGCCCAAATATTCGTAAGATCCAGAATACGTAGTGAACTTTCGGGCGATTTTTCGGGCGTAACTGCTTTAACGAGATTAAGTGCACCTTCAGCTTTTATAGGGTTGTTACCTAAGTATAATTCCTCGAGTTCTTTATTCCTCGATAATCCTTTCGCTATGATCTCTATATCTTCATCATAAAATCGATTTCCTGAACGTAGTTGAAATATAATATTGATATTAGACATTAAATTGGTTTCTGGATATCGAGATTCACTGTTCTAATCTAGTAAAGGATTAAGATTTCTACATTACCATTCAGATGTAACTTTTTCAATGGCGAAGAACGCATTAATAATCGACGAAGATATGGAACACATTCTTTCCCTAAAGCGTTCCAAGATAAATCAAGATTGATTAAAATTTCATTGTTATCGAATCCTTTGATCAGTTTCTTCCAAGTTTCCACGGTGTACAAAGAATTCCATGACAATTCTAAATGCTGTATTGTCTGTGAACAGGAGAGCAATCTTTGCAAAGCCTCCGAGCAAGATTCATCGAAATTATTGTCGTTGATTAAAAGAGTTTCGATGGTTTCGTTATTGCACATTGCCTCTGTAATATAGTCCAAACCTTCTTTACGAATATTACAATCCGAGAGATCTAATGTCTTCAGTGTCACATTCTCCGAAATCCCATCGTGAAATTTCGCGGCACCTTTTGGACCAATTTTGCATCCTGATAATACCAACGTGTGTATCATGTTGTTTTTCAGTAGCAATTCATTTAGATGATAACAGGCATCCTCTGATAACCAATTACCCTACGAGACAATTATTTCGGGCAAAAATATTAACATTCTTTTTCCTTTTTCCCAATTTTAATTAATTTTCGTTAAAAACATTTGTCGATCGAAATAATTCTAATAATTAAGAAATTGCTTTTAATCATATTAACGTTATTAACTGATATTTGTTAATCTATGTCAAAGGTTACGGATATTTATCTTACTGTAAGATTGACTGTATGAACGAAAGGATTTTTCATCAAGGCTTTGCAAAGAGGTCGAACGGCGCGGCAATCGATTCCGTAATATTGCAAATTGATTTTCTCAGATAGTAACATATCTTCCAAGGCCTGTATAGGTCTGATGCGAGATGCTTTTACCAAGTCGAAAAATTTCAGCACGCCATCATCTGGATAAGACTCGATTTTACGTTCGTGAATAGTCCAGAACTCGGGTACCAAGCCAGGATCGTCAGGAATCGGAAACACCGTGTACAGATTTTGCAATTTCAGTTGGGAATCGCTGATATCTATATCTTTGAGGCAAGGATGGATTGAACTTTCTGCGGACGATTCGGCAGAAACAATGGATTCCCCGCTTTCCGGAGTGATCAGAGTTTCTTCTGATAGACCTCTCTCCCTTTTTATCTACATATTCAACGCCAATATTCCTTATATTTTTTTGTGTATGAGAATGATCTTTTTTTTTGTCGCGTTACGATTACCAAAATGGAATTACACCAACCATTTCTCGTAGTTTCCCTTTTTCCAGTTGGATCTCGGCTGCTTTCTTTTCGATCGTGGTCTCCCGAAATTGTGTCAACAAGTCTACAGAAATGTCTCTCCCTTCTAGTTCTTTCTCTTCCTCTTCTTCTTCCTCCTCCATTTCCTCTTTCTCTTCATCGTCCAGAAATTCCCATTCGTTCCCGTAATAGTCCAAATAATAATTCGATATTCCGGTAACATTTTCGAAATTTATATTTTCCTGAAACGTAAGTTTCTCTTGGCAAATGGAATTCGAAGATGGTAAGAAACATGTAGAATTACTGGAAACGCTTTGAGAGGTTCCATTTCCTTTGTCTTGTTTCAGTTGAACCTTTTAATTCGACTTCTTTTTGGTTTATTTTACTGATAGATTGATAAGAGACTAACTTCAAATTTTGATAACGTGAAGTTATTACGCGCAGACAATAAAATCGAATCCTTTCATTAAACAGATTACTTGTTACGCAAAAGAATTTATCAGTACTAACTAGTAATTTACGGCCTGTAAAATTTCGAAATAAACTAATATTAGTTCAACTGTGCAAGAGGATGCGGATCAGATAAAATGATTCACCACAGTTTTATTTATTTATTTATGTTTTATCTATATTACATTTTTATCCATATTTTATTTATTTATTTATTTACGTCTCATCCGTGACGACGTTTATTCTCCTTGATCAGGTAGGATTTCTCGCATCAGGTGTCAGATATTCGCTCGCGGAGCGTTTACGTTAACTGTCTTGAACTGTAAACGGCATTCATAGGTGTTAAAACGCGTCATATTTCTCCCGATGGTATTACAGAGTCGATCTGTAACCTTGATTCTTGCGCTTTCTCAAGGTATCCCATTTACACAGTGACGGCGCTCTTGGACTTGGTGGTTCACACGAGCCTTATTCGACTAAGCAACCAGACTGACTCATTTACTGGGTATTCGTCAAGTGGTTCTTCTGGGCCATTGTATTGTAATTTTGGCAGATCGTTCATTCAGCAGTCACGCGGTTGTATACGCGGCTCGTGTACCGTGGTCAAGATCGCCACGATGGTCACCGATCCTCGTCTCGGCGTCTCACGAAATTGCCTACACGGGGCCCTTTGTTAATCTCAGACGCGCTTTCGATGATAATGAACACTGTATTATCCTCAATGAAACGATCTATTGAAATCCGTGGCCGGTTTGCCAGCAACGAGATCCGGATCCGACGACCATGTTTGTTCTCCGGCGATTAGTTTAGAGTAAGTGCCCGGAATGGTTCAAAAAATGATGCTCGACACGTGGAATATTTTATTCGTAGAAGCGAGGATATAGAAATGAGACAAGAAGTTTAATATACTGTTTGATAAAACCTTGTATCGTTTTGTCTGTGCTGCATAATACTACCAAAACAAGCGTCTTCAAGTTGGACCTTTGCTTTTCATATAGGAATTTTACAAGTAAGCAAACTGAACGTGTTGATTAATAGAAAGCGTAAACCAACGAGTAAAGTGTATACAGAAAGAAAATATACTAACGAAAGAAATTATAGGTAAAAATAGCAAGGAAAGTTGTAAGGATTCCAAACTTTCTATTTCAATTTTATCCTCGTAGTTCCTGAGCCTATGTTACGATTATGACTTTCTCGATCAAATTTACTACTTTATGGTTCGTACGAAACCTTCATCTGTGCTTAAGAACCATCTAACCATATAATGTATGTCCCATGCAATTAGAAATAAATTCGATCGAACAGAAGAGAAAAACGGTCGAGT